TACTATCATTATTATTTTCATTAATATTATTATTGTTACTATCATTGTCGCCATTATCGTTATTATATTTATTTCATGCTAATTGTAATTAAATCAGATAAATTGCTCCGCTATCGTTTCCGTATTCAAACGGTGAGGCAGAACATAAGTGCAACCGAATTGTTCAATAGTTTTACAATGTTGATTTCATTTTTTTATTTCAAAAACAAAACACTATTCAAACAAAGCAGAATAAGAAATGTGCAGAGTTTAACATCAAACGAACTCATCCAGTATAACCTACAGAACACTCTTAATTACAAAATAACATTTTCCTATTTGATTTGTTCAAAAGAACAATTTAACAAATTCATTCTCAAACAACGATTCATTGAAATTCAACAAGAAACTCATCATATAATGGCAACTCATTTATACTTTATTTCAACCAGAATTGAACTGGCGTTTCAAGAATGAGTCTTAAAGGGATTTGGTTGAGTGTGGGGCATTCATTCGGTGATTCAGACTTACAACTGAATAAAAAATCTCATGAATTATTCTGTACTTCTCCTTTCGTGCATCCGCATCGACTTCGATCCGGTTTCGCTTTATGCGCTGGAACGTATCGTGTCATTTGCGCTCGTGTCGCTAACCGATTATGAAAATTACCCGCACCAATCGCCGTAGTATTGGTCAAATTCGAGTCTTCACTGAGCATTCTGAAGATGGTTGATCATTTATTACTTAGGAGATGTCTACCGATTGTTGGTTATTGATCTCGATTTCAATCTGAGCTTAATTTTAACCAATTGAATGGATTTGTTCGGATCAAGTAATTGATAACATTCGAAAATACTCCTCATTAATAGTTCACCTTTCAACATCAAGTTGCAGACGAGATCTGCATTTAGAATTGATTTTATTGTCAGGTGATTCTGAATTTCGGATTCAACTTCTTCTCAGTTTTCATAATTGGCCATTTATGAAATTTGAAACAATTGGACAGGTGATTAATTTCCTCGCTTCAATTCCACAAAAATTGTTTTGCTTTGTATTTACGAATAATTTTGTGAATAAGTCACATGGATGACCTTTTTCGATTGCGAAGTTTATCTCTTAACTGCCTCCCTGCTTGCAGTTCTTCGATGTATTTCTCCTCGTCCACTCCCTCGGTTATCCACTGACAAAAATTCCGCATGCAAACACATACACAAACCGAACCACTCAACAAAAACATCAGTGCAGTGTACGCGCACAACGTATACAATTGTTTCGTTTGTAAATCGTCCACCTATCAATTCAATTCATCACAAACTAATCTCACATATCTTACGTGATATTCAGTCGTACATCGTTGCACAAGCAATAAGAATCGAAATTTCCAACAATATCTGGCATTCTAAGTGCAGTAACTATTTTCTCCAACAACAATAATCGGAACCCAATATTGTTACTATCAATATCCATAATAATGTGTCAATTTCTGGCAATGTTCATCCACTATACACATAAATTTCCATCAAATTCAAATCAGTTTTGAATGTGTTCTTGTTTAAAGTAATCTACATATGTAATATATAATATATTTACGATTGATAATATATTTACGGTTATATGATATATTTACGGTTGATCGTTAAGTGTGAAACAAGATCGAATGTAAAGCATAAATGGATCTTCTTTCGTGATTGTCTATCAAATTAATCGGAAGAGAAACCTCAAAATTGCATTTTGTGCCATTTAATGTGATATTACCAAGTGAATCTTTTAAAATTCCCAAATGTTCAGGTTGCCATATGATTGTTGATATTGTCAGACTGATGTTTGTGGCTTCCAAAAAACAATTTTCACAGCAATTTGGAGGATACGCATAAAGAAGACCCGTTTCCCTATACGCCGTCAATGCCCTGTACTGATGAAATGATTATTTTTCTTTTCGTTTTCGATTCTTCAAACCTCAATATCAGTCGGAGACCGGAAGTTAGCCTAGATAGTAGCGCATTTCGATTGTTGTCTCTAAGCGCATCATCAGATAGTAATCGAGGATATTTGGGTGAGCCAAAATGGTCGATCTCTATGGGATCGACTAGAAATCATCCGTTCGCGGCTGAAGCATGTGTAAAATCCAGTCCGAATAAAACGACTATGGAAAGTAACTAGCAACGAACAGTGCTAATTGAATATCGTTCATCACTTATATCAATCAACACTGGATGATAAGATACATACCAATCGGTTTGTAGGTAGCTTAAGAACGAATCGTATTCGAATTGCGATATTGAACTGATCAATCGGACATGTAAAAAATGAGTGTAATTCCAATACTCTTCACTTGTTTCAAAACCACAACAATGATACTCACGCTGAATTTGCAATAAGAATCTTATGAAATGGAGCGATGCTTGAGGAAAGAAAATTTATAGCAGAATCTCTGCTCGATAACATTTACGGTTTCATCTCGTTTTTCAATTTCTCGAATTTGCTTCATTTTGAAACAACCTCTCAAACAGTTCTAAATGAGAAGTAACCCCCTCGAAGAAACGTATTGAAATGAGTAAATCAACGCTTACCTCAATAGTACGAATGAGTGTTTCACGTGATGGAATATTTATAAATTTCTTCTCGTAAAACGACGCGAACATTGCCCACCATCTTCGAACATCGACGGCTTCTCGAATATGTGCATCCTGATCGAAATCTTTCTCGATTAACTGCAATTCAGTTTCGACAACTCATTTGTTGACACGCAAGCAACGTGGCAATTGTTCAAATGTCAGCAGCTGACGACAAGTAAGAC